GGGAATGAACAAAATACGGAAAACATCAGACACTTAATGAAATGTTTGAGAAAGTTTCTGTTTTATTGGATTGTTTTACTATATCATCGAAAGAATTCGTTGCAGTAGATGATGATAATGTGTATACAGCCCTAATTATGGCAGACAAAGAGTTTGTTTTTGGAGTTTTGGAGTTTGTTGGAAGCTCATAAAATATTGATGCAGATTCCGATGATGAAAATGAAATGGACAGCTCCTGTTTTCACGTCATCCGAAATGAGGAGCATCATGAAAATATGTGCAGTTATTTAGACGCCCATTTAAATGGTGAAATGAATAAAAAAAATGGACGACATCAAACAATTTGCTTATAATTTGATGCTAAAAAGGACAAATGGGAGCAAAATATCAGATAATTTATCAAAAACTCAATAAATGTTTTGTTTTTTTAAAAAAAACTGGAAAATTTTGTTTATGAATTTTCATTTAGTTCTTGAGAATGACTCTGTTTCATTGATTTTTATTAAATATATGCATAAATACACATCTAGTAAATAAAATGTACTCTGATAAACTTAATTTTGTTGAATGTATGATTTTTTTTCTTTTGCAATATCCTTTAAAACGAAAAAAATATTTCAGTCTCCACAGTTTCATGTTAAACGATTTTCACAGCATACATTTGATATAATTCGTGATTTGTTACAAACGTTTACGATGATAAATCACAAATTATATCACCTTTTGTCGATACCCAAGTTTTCCCCCTTCTGGCTTGCAGTCTATAGCATCCCACCTGCCGCCTTCGAAGCAAAAAGCAGAGTGGCCAGACAACCACAAACAATCATCTGTGTTCGGCATATTCCTCTTCACTTCCCTGCTCAACCCTGCCAGCAACCCTCTCTTATTATCATTCCCCCTTTTTCCGGCACTCCATGTATCCCCACTTCAAGTTTTATTCTATTATACCCCCACCACTGTGGACAATTTGCTTGTCCGGAACGAATGCCAAATGGTACATGTCATTTGCTTTTTCTATGCAGCAACCCCCCTCTTTGCGCATCTCTGGAAGGGATGGCCACTTTTGCGAAAATCCCCTTTTTACGCAAGGGATATCACCCAAGTGTCATAGAAATTCTGACTTGGTTGTTATGATGTCCTTTGATCTGGAAAATAGGATTCTTTTTCCAGTTTTAGTGGGAATGTCAATGTTCCAAAGTGAAACATGAACAAGTGATACATCTAAGATACATTAAAAAAAATTAGTATTTGCGATCACTATTAATAAAATGTTATGTAAACAGGTCTATTCGCAAACCTCCTACTGATCATCTAGGGAAATTACTTCTTTTAAATATTGTTCTACTGAAACTTTCTCCTGAAGACGAAGATGCGGTTTATGTAGATCAAGGTTTATGTTTGAACATTAACTTTTAGGTTCGATGGAGAGAAAGAGGTTAGGAGTTAGGTGATAGAAGTTAGTGATTAACTTTAAGTAGTAGCAAGCTAGTCGAGAGGGACTCGTTGATCAATTGCTTAATTAATATTTAAAATTGATAGTTGACGATTTGGTCAACAAGAGGAATAGTGTCGGCTAATAGCTTAGAATGGAATTTCGATTATTTAAAACTTATATTACCAATACATTCCAAAAATAAGTGATTCAATTTATAATTAAATATTAAATATCTCGTCTACCCCGCTTTTGCTCCGATACTTAATTATAGATGCATTTCTTAGCCTGGGTTGTTGAGACTTGTTAGGTTGTTGAATCTTGTTATAAAATTAATAAACTAGTATATTGTTTTGATTATGGCTAATCTTCTAACTTTTGAACACTGATGTATGGCAGAGGACATTCTTCTCATAGGTTATGAAGCAGATTTTCGAAAAGCAATATATGTTAAAGCAAATATAAACTAATGTTTATATTTGACGCACAAATGCTACACTAGATATTTCTTTCTTTTCTGAAAGAAATAATTTCTTTATTCTTTTTCTTCTTTTGAATTAAATAACTTCTGTATTTTCTTTTCTTTGGATTTTCATTAATATACTTTTCTGTTTGTGATGTACCTCCCCTTGGAAGTACATCCCTCGAAGTATCAGCGTGAGCTAGAGGTGTAGGGTTAGCGAAAGAACTCGGATCATACATTATCTTAATATGACTTTATTAAGATATTCAACTTAAACTTTTAACAAATATAATTACAATAATTAATATGAGAGAATCTACGATGACACAATACGCAACACACAATATATATATTTATATTTCTAATTCAGAACAATCTCAATAATCGAGCCACTTAATCCTCAATTCTAATAAAGTGTAATCAATCCTACCTTATTTTATCTCGTAGTAACTTTAATCTTTATCTGCAATGGTATGCAGCTTGACGGTTAACTTCTAGTCGAACACCAATATGTTTTTCCACGACACGTAGAACTGAAATCTTGAACCACGAACTGCAATAATCATCAAGTGCCACAACGCACGTCAATTGTCTAACATTCCTTTACATTGCCATCCCGCTTACTCTAAGATCCTATATTTAAAGTCGGTTTATTTGCATTTCTTCTTCACATCTCGTTTCTTGGATTTGGTTGGAAAAGAGTGGCCATTAATTCTGGCCCAAAGAACCCAAAGGACTTGTTAAGGAAAAGACACGTAAGACGTCACATGTTTACTCAAATTATTACCGTAGATACCATTTTGAGTCTCATTCATTGCCTAATAGAAAAGGTACAGGCAGATATGCAATATCAGAAAAGACCCAAGTTAAAAAAACTTTTAAATGTAAATGAATTTTTAAAAAAATTACAAAACGCAGAACAATTTTTGCTTATTATTTAACCTTCTTTATTAATAAATTTGTAGTAAATTTGTTTAGCAATGTCACAGAATTATTTAGCTGTATCACACATTTTAGAGTACACACACACATTCAAATTTATTAATTGTTTTCTTCCTATCTTGATACTTCTGCAATGTTGATTTTGTTTTTGTTTGATTATTGGTTTTTCTGAAATAAAAATGGCTTAGGTTTTTGTAAGCATATACTACATTTGGACATACTACTGTCTAAAACTGAGGCATAGGTCAAGAACTATTAAAATATTAATGGAATATAATGATGATTAATTAATTAATTTCGGAAAAAGTTTCTAATAAAAGTATAAATTTATGTCTTATATTCAAAATATCTGAAAGCAAAAAACGAATTTCATTACTTCGAATTTTTAATAAAATTCTTTTCATATTTTTTGTTGATGTGTATTTGTATTTGTTTTATATCATAATAAATTCCGTATATTTTCGAATGTAATAATCTGTAAATAAGCCAAAAGTGCGTTTTTTGTTCAAAAATTCACCCAAATTTCAAAACGCATGTTAATTACTATACTTGTATGTATTCCTGTAGTTATCAAACACGTTTTTCTGAAAGCGAAAGGAATATTTTCCAGTAAAATTACTCCATAGCAAAACGTCAAAGATGTTATTTTTTTTATATCTGATAATCCTAACGGAGACTAACACATTTTTTTTCATTTATGTGTTATCATAGCTAATCCAACTTTCTGAGCCACTATTTTTTTTGAAAACTACCGGGAAGAGAAATTTGCATATACGACACGTGATCTTTGACCCATGTTTCATGTCCTGGAAGAAAAATTCGCTGCATGATAATTGTAAGCCTTTAGACATCCCAATGAATAAACGTGAATTTCACAAACTATTCGGAAACAAGGATTCTGACGCTGATTTTGAAGAATTTATGTGAGACTTTTTTCTTCTCTTAGAATAAAAAGTTGTAACAACGTCGTAGAGGTTGTTGGTGTTTGAGGATTCGAGTAAAGATCAGCCATAAATAGTTTAAATTCCACTTTATTATTTCACTAACTTAAATCAAACAGCTCAGGGTAGGAAATGCACAACACTATTAATTATAAGAGCAATCACACGGCTATAGAATACTTAATATATGAGTATAATCTAATTCATTTACGTTTGGACACACTTTGGACTTCTTCAGTATAATTCAAAGTAATTCTCTTTTTGCACAACATCCGGTCGTTATCATTTGATTCAATCTTATAGCTTATTCGACAATTAGCAATAATTGATCATCCAGAAACTACTCGTCAACTAACTCTCGACTAACCCTCGCGTATCTAAAAGTCTATGCTTAAATAGAACCACTCATTCATTTACAAAGTGTAGTTTTCTTCTTCGGAAGAAAGTTTTCAATAGCACAACAGTTAAAATGAAAAAAATTTATCCCGAGAGGATTAATTACAGGTTGCGGATAGACCCGTTACAATGTTTTATTCAAAACTCCCAAAAAGTTTAAATATTAAAATCGCTTGTGCATGGCTAACAAAATTATGTTAAAGAAAAATAGTTCTTTCTTTTTTAAATTAGTGGATCTGTATATAAAATACAACCCCCTTACTTTCACCTTAAATAATTCCAAAAAATATCAGCTTGTAAACTGAAATGTACGGTATTTCGTACGTATGTTTACTCTCGCTTTATTTTGTATAGTTCTTATACTCTTAGCAGGAGAGTAGAATTTGATTTTCCAGTTGTGGAAGAGAAGTAAATGTAGAAATATTATGGTACCTAAAATTTTACTGATTTTGATTGGGTGATCACGAATCCTAGCATTATATTTCTAAATATCAGTCTAGTCTTCTTTTCTTTTATTGCATTTGTGTCTTCAGATAACAGTAATGATAACAAGCAATATAAAGAAAATTAAAGTTAATTCTTACTTAGATCAACAAAGAAAATTTTTATTTTAGTTACTTTTTGTTAGACGATTACAATTAATATAAATATGTATATACATATGACAGAATCGCAATATTAAGTGGCAAAATAGAAAGTGATTTTCCTTTCTATATATGGTGTTGCACTATTATTTTTGTTTTTGTTACTATTTATTCATTAATTAAATTTAATTATTTCAATAAAATAGTATAATAAAAGAAAATTACATTCTCAGAAATTAGACCATCCCTGGCGAGATACGAACCCACGACCTTTGGATTAGAAGTCCAACACGCGATCCATTGCTCTACAGAGGCACAACGAGCGATTTCCCTTTTTATACATAGTGCTAGACTATTATTTTTTTGTTCGTAACTATTTATTCATGAATTAAATTTAATTGCAACTCAAACTCGGCGCAACAGCCCATGAGAGACAGGGCCTACTGTGCCTATCCCAGCATACATGACCATTGGGCGCTGAGGTGCAGGAGCAGATGCCCTGATCAGGTGGTCAGTCTGAAGCGAGATCTCCAATGTTTTAAATCTCTAAGCAAGATTGATACTCATTTATCGACCTACTGCATTAGGGATGAAAGGCTAAGTTGACCTTGCCCAGACCGAGGATAGAACCTCGACCCTGTGGTGTGGAAGCGCGATACGTTACCACTCAACCACTGGGCCTTCAAACTAATTTAATTAATGAACTAATATTTGAAAAAACTGTATTAACACCTAGTGTCATCCACTACAAGTTTAAAAAAATGTATTTGAACTTAAGTGGATGAATAACACGTATTTTATTAAGGATTGAAAATTTTTGTGAACTATATATATATATATATATATATATATATATATATATATATATATATATATATATATATATATATATATATATATATAATACTTTTGTTAAGTGCTACATATTTCAGCCATTCACATGCTTTGAATCTGCATTAGGGTACAGAATCTGGTAATAACTTATTTATTGCACTCAGATTTAGCGCGGGCATTTTTAAGTGCAATTTTTAGGTAAGTTACTTCTATTTTGTAATGAATTTAGATATTCCTATCCATTATTTTCTACAGGTTTTTGCTCAGTATTATTAACATAAAGGGGGAAGGTTGGCTGGCCACAAAACATGTTCAACCCCACTTTTATATAAATTATTTTATATATAGGCTGTCCTAAGTCAGCAATATTTATAGTACTGCAGCATCCCTTTTTTAATTTTTAATTTCAATTGCTCATGCGTCCTTCATTGTGTGGTTTTCTCACTGTCTCTGTGTTTTTCGGTTTTGATTTATGGATGTTCATCTCTCGTTTGCAGAGAATTAGACTATATATATATATATATATATATATATATATATATATATATATATATATATATATATATATATATATATATATATATATATATATATAGGGAGCGTGTGAACTAATAGTAGGAATTGAAAAAGAATGAACATATTCCAGAGAAAATTAAAATTAACTAACAACTCCCATTCGACTAGGCAACAAAACTAGATCACAGAACCACAAACTATTCCCAGTAACTAACTTCTTCCGGAGTACACAGAACCAACAACTATCCAAACTAACTTCCCACAAACCGTTGTCGCGATGGAACTCACCAAGTATGTGCGATAGCAGAACTAGAACTCTAATGTGGTGACAGCGCAAGGCCGGGGTACTTGGGATGCAAATCAGTATGATTAGCATGTCGCCAGGAAAGGGGAAACGATCAAACTCATCACTGGGGTCTCTCCACACCCCAGTGTACCCCCTTCTCCCCAGTATTAGGTTACGAGAGTCCTCTCCAACTGGTGAGGTTATCCGGTGGATAATTATCCGCCATCAACGCTATCAATTATCCGAATTTGGCGAATTTCTGTGTGCTTGTGTTGGGAAGGGGAGGGGGTCAGTTTAACTTCGGGTGGGGGTATAAATCATTGAGGGGGTTGTGAGTTGGATTTGTGATGTGTCGCTGTGATTGAGAAGCGGGGAGGGTGGTATTATTTAGATTAGAATAGATGGAGAGAGAGTGTTTGTGGATAAATGTGCGTGGATGTGTGTTTATATGTATTTATACGCTGGTTATAAAAATGACAAAAGAGATATTTTAAATATTGTTTAAATGATTACAAATATATTTTCATTTATCAAAAAAAAAAAAAGGAAAAGTATTTTTTTTCTTTGTATTTCAGATCTTGTATTAAAAGTTTTTATTGAAAAAATATATATTATATTCTTAAAATATTGCTTAGTTTTAGATTTTTACAATGCATTTTCTGATTTAAAATTTATTAAATAATTATTTCATTTTTCCAATACAAATTTTTGATTCTTAAATTCTACTTGGGTTGGTAATTAAAATTGGAGGAGGAAAATAGGTTTAATTTTTAACAGGTATTATATTCTCAAGAAGGGGATTTTGTTTTACATCTATCAAAAAATATTTGTCTCTTACAGGCAGCATGACAAAATACAAGGTATTAATCACTTAACATTATGTACAAAAACATCTCGTTATTTATTTTTCAAATCATGCAAGCAATATGAAATCTCTCCCAATTAATGAAACTGGTTAAACTCCAGTTTTATGTAAGTTTAAAAGTTTTCATCTGCCAATAATGTTTATAATGCTGCAGCACCCATCTTTTTAAGTTTCCAAAATCTGGATATTTTTTTAAATTTAGTATTCAGGCCGTTTCAGCCTTCCAAGTAGAATTTATTCAAAATTTTATATATGTGAAAATATATGCAGATGAATCTCCATTTTACGTACCTTTCTTTAGCGAATTTCTCTATTTTATTGAATTTTTCCTGGAACCAATACCATTTAACGATTTTCTTCGTAAAATAACGTCTAAATAACGAAGTACGTTTTCTATTTTACGAAACTTTTCACTTGAGATTCCCTTTATTCTCCCTATTTTTACAAGCTTTTATTTAACTTGCAATGTAATTTATTCGGGTGGAATCTGGCAACTCAATTTTAAAGCCGATGTCTTCAACCGATTGAGTTGAAATTTTGTATACACGTTTTGTTTGGATGCAATGCATGTTTTGACCATTTGTATTCCGATATCGCAATTAATTAAAAGGATATTAATTAAAAACCTTTTACCCCTGTTAACTTTTTATTTTGCCGAGCAGCTTATCGGATTGACCTTAAAGGGAAGTTCCGATCTTTCGACCTTTTTTAAAAAACCATCTTATATTCTTTCTATCAAACTGAGACAAAAAATAATTACATAATCGGAAAGATCATTTATTTCGCCACGAAACAGAATAATTCTTTTTAAAAAATAGCGATATTTTCTGTTTTTTACGATTTTTTTTAAAATTAGTCAAAATTGATGCGTTTTCATGAAAAGGATTTCTAAATCGTTCCGTATGAATTTTTTTCGTGTTAATGAATCTACACTCATGTCCATAAATTACGGATAATGAAGTTCAGGCAAAGAAAGAGACAGAAGCAAAACAAATTTGACTTATTTGTAAAGTCTATTTATTAAACGAAAGGTAAAGAGCAAAAAAGATGCTATATGTTTGACATAAATAATAAAAAAACGCGATTTTTACTCCCTGGAGCAAATTTCAAAAAAGAACCTATTTACAAAAAACAGTATAACATGGTTAGTATGATGGTTAATACGGAGTATGTCTCCCGGACGATGCAATACAGGCCTTACAACGCCTAGGCATGCTGAGTATCAAATTATCAATTTGATCTTGGGGAATATTACATCACTCATGAAGCAATGCCCTCCGAAGTTCCGGTAGACAGGTGGGAGGGGGTTGACGGGCTGCAATTCGTCGGCCAAGCATATCCCTCACAGGCTCTAATGGATTCAAGTCCGGTGAGTATGATGGCCAGTCCATACGGATGATATCCTCCGATTGAAGGCATTCGTCTACAATGTTTGCATGGTGAGGAGGGGCGTTGTCATCCATAAACAGAAATTCAGCACCCATGGCGCCCCGAAACAAACGTACATGTTGTTTCAGAATGACATTCCGATAGATGTGGCCTGTCATCGTTACACTCTGAACATGCAGGTCAGTTCTGGAACCAAGAATAATTCCTCCCCAAACGAGCCATCCTTCACCACCGTAACGGTGTCGTTCAATGGTGTTTGTTTTCTTGGTGGTAACGGGGTACCTGGCGCTCTCCATATTAAAGTCCGGTGAGAATCAGACTGCAAACTAAACCTGGACTCGTTGGAAAACATCACACAAGACCACTGTGTGATGTGGTGTCCACAATGCATGTTCTCTACTCCAGGTTAATCGCAGGCGACAGTGAGTTGCGGTAAGGGGAACACATCTGACAGGCCTACGAGCATATAGACCAATGTGCCCTAAGCGTCTGTACACGGTCTGCCTTGAAACTGTCGTACCGGTAGCTGAAGAGAGCTGACGAGACAGGTCTGATGCTGTGCTCCGTCTGTTTCTTTTGACAGTAACTTCCAAATACTGGTCCTCATTCGGCGTTGTAACTCGGGAGCGACCTGTGCTGTAACATCTACTCACATTACCATCATCTTGGAATTGTTGCCAAAACCTGGAGATGACACTCTGGGTGATTCCAAGTTCCTCGGATACTTCCAGCTGGATACGTCCACATTCCAGTCGTCCAATAATTCTACCAAGTAAAAAATCATCCAAATGCTTCCTTTGTGCCATAACTATGCGGTTATTGCACTGAAAGGCTTTTAAAGCGCTTGTGAACAATTTTACTTCTTTGCCACCATTCCTTATGTACCCCTCTCTTACACTCTCGTTTTTGTGACGTACTATCCGTGCCAACTGGTGGTTTCCTGTAATTTGCATATTCTTCTTCAAGATGTGTGTGATAATTCTACAGGTGAAATTTTTATTTTAGAGTTCAATTCCTGCGTGATTCTGAATTATCCTTAATTCATGGACATGAGTGTATATTCTGCAGTTCAGGCTTTTCTCTATTAAAATCCGTTACTCAAAAAATAAAATGCAAAAAACTTTTTTTTTTTTACGATTTTTCAAAAAATACTCAAATTTTTAATAAAACATTTAAAAACGTTGTCATTTTTGAAGATAATCGCACGAGACTTTTTTTTTGTTTGTAGAATAGTATTATCTAAATTCTACACAAAGATTGGAAAAATTAGTTTAAAGTTACGGATTTTAAAAAACTTTTTGTTTTTCGTTTTTAATATAGTATTATAGTAAAAACAAAGCAAAGTAAAGCAAAAAAAGGAGTTTTAATATTTTTTTTTATTAATTTTGCTTTGTCCAATGTTGTTTTGGTCTTGCAGTGTTTATC